ACCGTACCCTTTTATGTAATGATGTTTACTTTGAATTTATATTAGTTCACACAAACACTCCATCCATGCTTTTGTTCCGGCCCTCCGGTCCAGTTTAAGAACCCATTGTGGCCCTCGAGTCAAAAAGTTTGCCCAACCCTGTACTAGAGGTTCAGTGGAAACCAGCCCCCAAAGTAAAGAGAAGACTGCATAGTTGAATGTGTACAGAACCTGGATCTCTAAAGGGGGTCAGGGGACCTAATGGAACAAAGAATACAAATTACAATAGTCCTCCTTATCCAAGGGGGGATAATGAGGCCTGAAAATATATATGCTCTGTTTTCCCCTCTACATCTATACCAGTGATAAAGTTTAATTTATAAATTAGGTACAGTAATACATTAACAACAATAATAAAGGAAAACAATTATAATAATATATTGTAATAAAAGTTATGTGAATGTGATCTCTCTTAAAATATCTTAATGTACTTTTCACTTAAAAGGAGCACTTTTTGGTTTCTTTTGGTATATCCACATTGCCAGCATCATTCCTCTTGGCTTGGAGGTCACTATTAAGTAAAATAAGTTATTTGAACAAAGGCACTAATACCACAGCAGCCTGCTACTAAATGACAGCAGGCAGGTAGCATATACAATGTGGATACGCTGGACAAAGGGATGATTGCCCTCTGAAGAGGAAGTTGTATCCATGTGAATCATGCCTGTCCTCTCATAATACTTCTAGCTAACTTGGGGGTATTTTCGCCACAGTTTTGGTCCACTATTTGATGAGAGACTTTAGTTTCTATACTATATAAGGACATGGAGTCTGTTTCAAAATAATACTATTAGAGTGTTCCTGACTCTCACCTGAAGCTATTTTTAAAATCAGTTCTGCATATTCCTTTTTCTAGTTTTTGTTGGACATAACTTACAGAGAGAGTAAAATGACATCTCTTACTTTTCTATTAGCTAAACAGACTTTATAGCAGGGGTCCTCAAACTTTTTAAACAGGGGGCCAGTTCACTGTCCCTCAGACCGTTGGAGGGCTGGACTATAGTTTAAAAAAAAACTATGAACAAATTCCTACGCACACTGCACATATCTTATTTTGAAGTAAAAAAACAAAACGGGAACAAATACAATATTTGTATTTGTATGTGGCCCATGGGCCGTAGTTTGAGGACCCCTGCTTTATAGGGTAAATGCTTCAGAGTCATGGTTCAGGTTCCATTATCGGTTTAAATGCACCAACAGATAATAGTTGCAACCTTTAAAATGTGTATTCTATTACACCCTCCCCAAACCAACTGTGTCACATAATTACATAAATAGTTATACTTCAACAAAATAAAGGATGCTTTAATTCTTAATCTTTTCCTCTATCCCTGTCTGAATGTGCATGCCTAAGCTTCTTTAGTCAATAATGTGCCCAAAGGATAGAGTTAAACCATAAAACCTAACTACCAGTTAATAGTAATTTCTTACACGATTGAACACTTACCCTTTGTTAGAAATTACCTTGTGCACTTACTTTATGTAGATTAGTTCAGTCTTCACAACAGTCCTGAGATAGGTACTATTATTATTCTCGTTTTGCAGGTGAGAAAATTGAGTTTTCCAGGCAGTAACCTGACCTTGGTTACACAGTAATTAAGTTTATTATACCCACTAAGGGAGTAAGAGTTGAAATATTTTTCTATGGAATTAATGTTTTACTTAGATGGACAGTTCATTCATTTGTTTCTGTATTCAAATTTTGATTTAATTTTAATTTTGAATGTGAAAAAGTGTTTATGATTCAAAAGAGAAATCTCAGTCCTTTTTTTTCCACCTTGTTCCCATCCACTTTCTATGAGTTATCATATTCACTAGTTTCTGGTTTGTCCTTAGTGCTTTTCTTTTTGCAGAAAATACATATGCACACATATGTACATAATATATTATGTGTATGTATATCTTTATATTCAGATTTCTCCTCTCTTTCTCAAAATGCAACCTCATACACACACACACACACACACACACACACACACACTTCTGCACCTTTTTTCTCCATCTAACAATATGTCATGGGAGTCATTTGGAAGTAAGATTTTTATCCACATTGTCTAACATCTGATTCCACTAGATCTCTTAAACAGACTTGACAGAATGTGTCCAGGTATGACACATTCTCTCCTTCCTTTAGTGTGTCTATGATTTGATGCTTCTTGGACCTCAGGAGTCATATTTGTTTCTACTGCCTACACCCTCATTTTCTTTCTCTTTTTTTTCCATATATTTTTATTGATTTTGGAGAGGGAAAGAGAGATAGAAACGTTAATGACGAGAGAGACTCATTGTTCGGCTACCTCCTGCACGCCCCACACTTGAGCCCATAACCCAGGCTTCTGGTTTCTTTTGCAATTAAACTAAGGTTTCTTTTTCTTTTTTTTTTCTTTTAAGGTTGTAAATGTATTAAAATCCTTATTGGCAAATCTTGATGAAGTAAAGAAGGAAAGAGAGGGTCTAGAGAATGACCTGAAATCAATGAATTTTGACATGACAAGCAGATTTTTGACTGCTTTGGCTCAAGATGGTGTGATAAATGAAGAAGCTCTTTCTGTTACTGAGCTGGATCGAATCTATGGAGGGCTTACGACTAAAGTCCAAGAATCTCTAAAGAAACAGGAAGGACTTCTTAAGAATATTCAGGTGTACTTCATATACGTTAATAAAATTTATGTTTTAAAAAAATTAAAGGATAAGCCTGTTCTAAATCTATGTTCATTTAGGATTATCTTTTTTTTTTTGCAAGTGTACATATTAATAGAAATCTGTAGTCATTATTGATTTTTTTATCACACACTGAATTTGTGATGTTTTTACGTAAGGAAAGATTTAAAGCACAATGCTACTCCAAAATAAATACTTGTTAAATTTCTAGTAATTCCTGCATGTAATATATGATTTTCATAGTTGGAAAAGTATCAATAAAAATGTTAGGAGCTGCGTTTGATAAATAAATGTAAAAACATAAATTTTTCTATTAACAAGGTTTCACACCAGGAATTTTCGAAAATGAAACAATCTAACAATGAAGCTAACTTAAGAGAAGAAGTTTTGAAGAATTTAGCTGCTGCATATGACAACTTTGTTGAACTTGTAGCTAATTTGAAAGAAGGCACAAAGGTATGGTGTACTAAAGAAACAGTAGCTATCCAGTATAGATGTGAATATGTAATTTGGGAAGTTAATTGTTTTTTTTTCCAGTTGGATCAAAAAAAAATTTTTTTTTTTGCTTTGAATTTGTTAGCTTTAATGACTTTTGCCTCTGAGAAGTTTGTTATAAGATCTTAACGAAGGTGGCACCGTTTCATGGGAACTTTGATGAATTGTGTATTTCACAAGGCAGAATGTGGTTTAAGATTTGATGTAACAGGAATTAGCCCAGAGATATCAAAAGCCAATGACACCTTTTTAGGAGAGGGATGTGGGGGTGGAAAGTTGACCAATTTGAATGACTTATGAGGAAACAGCTGTTCTGTGGTGGGGAAGGTGGGTGGGTGGGTATGGCTTTTATATTCTGTGCTTTATATTGGATGATGATAGACTTGTGATCTGTCTGAGTCTCTGAGTGCTTACTAAATATGTTTTAAGTATTTTATTGCCTATTCTTTAAAGAGTTTAAGGAAATACTTGTATTTTTTAACAATTACTTTCCTTATGAGGGAACAAGTGATTTTTAAGTTTTCTGGCACATCACTCCTTTGGTACTTTAATTCCATTATGATCATTGGATAAAGTTATCTAGATGTAAGTACAGTAGATAATCATGTAAAACGCTCTGAAGAGTGGGTAGAAATACTTCAGAGCCTTTCAAAATAGAGAGGATAGTAAAATATTTTAATTTCGTTTAATAAAATGCTTTGTTGAAATAGACAAGTGGAAATTCTTCTAAGGGCTTCTGAAATGATGCTGCGTTTTTGAAGTGAATGTGCAGATCTAGTCCTTCCAGTGAAATAGGGCTAGTGTGTGAGGAATTGGGAAAATGTACAAAACATGGTCTGAAATTTTTAACTTGTTACCATTTAATTTTTAGTGACATTGTTCTCTAAAAGCGATTTTATTTTTATTTTCTTTAGGAGTCTTAGCTCATATTTAATATTAAGTTAGACTTAAGTAGTATGACTGTGTCTAATGTAGAAAATTTTAGTTTTTCACTTTTAACTGTTACTGACAATTGAGCTTTAGGTTGTGTTCCTCAGATTAAAAATTGTTCTGGTTTTTTACTTGTATTTGTTCTTTGCTTATAGTTTTACAACGAGCTGACTGAAATCCTAGTCCGGTTCCAGAACAAGTGCAGTGATATAGTGTTTGCACGGAAAACAGAAAGAGATGAACTCTTAAAGTAAGTTTGTTTTCTGTATTAAACTGTACTTAAAATATTTTTGTTTAAAAAACCAACCTTGTGGAGACTTTGGGGTAAACTTGACAGTATGAGATAGCAATTTCTTTCCTTTGCTCCTGGGTATTTTATAAAACAAATAAGCAAAAATCTGCATGGTCCGGAAACAAAAAAAGATAGAAAAGAGCAGAAACTCTAGATGTAGGAATTACAGTGATGTCACTGAAATGATAATAAAGCAGCTCAGGGTGGCAGATCTCAGGAAATGCTGATAAACGTAAGTAGTTTACTTTGTGGTGGCAAATAGGTTCCTTACATAAACCAGAGGTACAGAACCTGGGGAAGATGGCGAAGTCACTTTCTGAAGGAGACTACTGAGAAAGCTGGGCCAGTAACAGGACTCATTCCATGCTTAGTAGTCAGTAGAGAGTTGACACAGCATTGATATGAAGAGACTATATTTATCAAGGTGAAAAAATGGACAAAATCTAACAAAACCTATAGATCAGCGGTTCTCAACCTGTGGGTCGCCAACCTGTGGGTTGCCACCCCTTTGGGGGTCCAATGACCCTTTTACAGGGGTCGCCTAAGACCATCGGAAAACACATATATAGTTACATATTGTTTTTGTGATTAATCACTATGCTTTAATTATGTTCAATTTGTAACAATGAAAATACATCCTGCACATCAGATATTTACATTACGATTCATAACAGTAGCAAAATTACAGTTATGAAGTAGCAACGAAAATAATTTTATGGTTGGGGTCACCACAGCATGAGGAACTGTATTAAAGGGTCGCGGCATTAGGAAGGTTGAGAACCACTGCTATAGATGAAGAACATTCACCAAAATAATTGTCACAGGACAGGTGAAAATTCTGAGCTAACATTTTACTATGGGGAAAAAAAAGGGTTAGGAAGCAACCTTTCTAAGGCACATCGAAAACAAATGCCAGAACTCGAGATGGTGAGTAAACAGGTGATAAAACGTGTCAGAATTCATGAGAGAGAAGAGAAAAACAAACCATCACAGATCTAAGATGAAATGGGAAGGAGCCCAAAAGGAGAATATAGACAGTGAAGAAAACACAGGAACAGAGAGTAGAAATGAGGAAGTCAAAAGAAAATGAAACCAAAGTAAAGATAGAATTAGAGATGGGCAAAGAAAAACCAAGATTGAATTATTATATCAAAAGGCTTATTACCTAATTTATAAAGAACTCCTATAGTCAAGAGGAGGAAAAACCCAATGGAAAAGTGAGCAAAGGATGCAAACAAATATAAGTGGTTCTTAAGCATAAGAACCACATTCAAAAGAAAATGCACACATTGAAATTACTCAGAAATAACACTTTTCAGATTGGCAAAAATCTGGAAGTTGTTTAACATGCTTTATTAGCACACGTGCATTGCTATGAGAGTGCACATTGGTACAGTCCTTGTGTGGAGCACTTTAGCTACCAAGGTCAGGATTACAAATCCATAGATCCTTTATTCTGTTTTTGAGAATTTATTCTGAGGATACATTAGCATACGCTAGAAATGACATATTTATGAGCTAATTCGTTTCTGCATTGCTTGTAGTGGTAAAAGAATAGAAACAAATCAAACATCCAGGATTGGTGAAATGGATGAAGCTGCAGCTGTACACTGAAATACTAGGCAGCTATTTACAAAAAGAGTGTTTTCTGTTTGCTGATATGGAAGGTTTGCTAAGATAGTTAATGTACAGAAAAGGTTAGGCACAGAACAGTTTGTAAAGTATGGTTTTTTGTGTGTGTGAAAAGGGAGAGGCTCTATGCATTTGAATTGTTTTATTTATGCATAAGGAAACTCAGGATGGGCTCCTGAGAAAGAATAGCGGGTATCTGTCTGGGGAGTGAATGGTGGAGTGGGAACTGGCAGGCAGGGGTCTTTCACTTTTTAAAGTTTTGAGTCATGTGAAAGAATATATAACCTTTCAGATAATTACATTAATCTAAATAATGGGATTTCATGTTTTTATAGTCAAAACCAAGTATTCTGATTTTAACTTTTTGGATTGTGTTCATCCACCCCCTCCACTTTTCATTTTTTGAGCTGTAGAACCTTTTGCTCAAACTCGTCTTACAGAGAATCTCAGTTTGTGAAATAGATAAAAATGGATCTTGCTCAGATCCAAGCAGGGTGCAGGGCTTATAGCGGGACCTTTGTTAAAATCACTGTTATGCTCAGGGCCTAAATTCTTTAAATATTCTTATTGAATGTCAAATAAAAACAAGAAAAGTATATATAGATGTATATCGTTGAATTTTCATAAACTGAGCACTTTCAAGCACCCCAGAAGCATAGCTAATGCATCCACCTAGTCATTATCCCCTCTCCCATAGCAATCACTGCCTTGACTGAGAGTGTAGACTAGTTTCTCCTGTGTTTGCTGCACTGTGTATAAATGGAATCATATGTACTCTTTTGTGACTGGCTTTCACTCAACATTATATTAGTGAGAGTCATCTGTATGATGTTCCTGTATGTATTTCATTGTATGAATATACTACAGTCTTATTTATCAGTACTATTTTTGAGTATTTGAGTAGTTTTTAGTTTTGGGCTATTGTAAATAGTGTGGGCATGAAGGTTCTAAAATACACTGTCCAATATTACAGTTAGCAGTAAAAGAATAGAAACAAATCAGATGTCTAGAGCTGGTAAATTAAATAAAGGTACGTCTGTATGTTGATACTATGTAGTCACATATACAACTTAAAATTTAAAATCCCTAGTAGCCAATTAAAAAAGCTAAAAGAAACAGGCAAAATAAAATTCAGTAATACATTTTGTTTAACCCAGTATGTCCAAAGTAGCATCATTTCAAAATATAATCAGTGCAAAAATTATGAAGGAGATAGTTCATTCCTCTCTCCCCCACACTAAATCTTAGAAATCTGGCATGTAATTTACACTTATAGCACATCTGTTTTATTTAAGTGAGATTTTGGGATGGATTTCAATTTATGTTGGTAGAGGGGATTTAAAAATGTTTTTCTGTTTTTTAATACTGCATTTTAATGGTCTTTTCAATTATCTCTTTTATGAATTTACCTTAGTAATATATTTTGAGGTCTCTTTTAACATGAAATAGCTCAGTGCCATACTTTTTTTGAATATCTTTAGAAAGTATTTATTAAGAAATTTATAAAATGGTTTGAATAGATTAGCTTTCTCACCTGTTGTTATGGTTTCTGTAAATAGTGATTAAAATATTAGCGAGATGATTATGAGGTGACTATGAGCTGCTGTAATTTTCTGGTTATTATGTTAGGAGTTTCTCATCTAGAGGATGACCTCTTACTAAGACTGGGCAGAAGCTCTAGCTGGTTTGGCTCAGTGGATAGAGCATCAGCCTGCAGACTGAAGGGTCCTGGGTTCGATTCTGATCAAGGACACATGCCCGAGTCTCAGGCTTGATCCCCAGTTGGGGGTGTGCAGGAGGCAGCTGATCAATGATTCTCTCTCATTATTAATGTTTCTATCTCTCCCTCTCCCTTCCTCTCTGATATTAATAAAAATATATTAAAAGAAAAGAGAGGGCAGTCGTTTAGGACCACTTGCCCAGTTTGACATCTTCCTTATTCTAGCTGTAACTATGATCTCTGAGAGTTTTCCTTTTTTCCTAGGCTTCAGAAGTAGCGTAAGAACTAATTTCATTTTATTAAATAGGAGGGAGAAAGAAGATTTAAGGTAGTTCTAGTCAAGAACATAAACGTAGCATGTTTTAAAATAGCATCATTGTTTTGAATCTATTTTCTGTGTTTCATGTATGAAGAAAAGAAAAGCACCTGATATTTTATGTGTGTTGGATTTTCTTTTATTGTGTTAATTTCTAACACTTGTCTTTAATAAGGGACTTGCAGCAAAGCATTGCCAGAGAACCTAGTGCTCCTTCAATTCCTACACCTGCCTATCAGTCCTCTCCAGCAGGAGGATCTGCCCCCACTCCTCCAACTCCAGCGCCAAGAACCATTGCGGTCAGTAAGCAAACATTTGTACATGGAAGTTTACATTAGTGACAGCTTGCTTGCTGTAAAGGATGGAACAGACTTCATGTTGGATAAATCTGTTGTCACCATTTTGATCAGGTGACCAACGTGATGTTTTGCAGTGTGAAGAATTCTTGCCAAAAAAATCTTTAACTTGAATCTAATCAAGTCTTTAGAACCATCTTTTCTAAAAGGGGATGTCATAGAAAGAAAAAAAAAATAGGCAGAGGGCTTGTTTTAGGTTGAAAGAGCGGAAAGATTCATAATAACCAAGTGCAATACATGAATCTTGATTGGATCCATAAAAATACATGTAAGAGCTTCTTTTGGTGATAAGTAGGAAAACTTAAATGTGGAGTGGATACTTGATGATATTAGGGAGTAAGAGTTAATTTTCTTAGGGTGAAGTGGTCCTATGATTATATAGGAGAATATTAGAACTTACATGTGTATTATACTATTCTTTTAAGTGTTCTGGTCTTTAAAAAATTTCATAATATGTTGGGATCAGGATGAGATTACAATAATAAACTGTACCTAACCTGCTTCTTCCTCCCACCTCAGTTGTCTAATCATTGGGAGAAGCAGTGAGCAGTAAATGATTAAATATTGGGCATCAGGAAAAGAGCAGTGGCTACCGAGGATCCACAAATTGGAGAATTAGCCCTAGCCTGTTTAGCTCAGTGGATAGAGCGTCAGCCTGCGGACAGAAGGGTCCCAGGTTTGATTCTGGTCAAGGGCATGTACCTGGGTTGCAGGCTCCTCCCCAGCCTGGGCCCTGGTTGGGGCTTGTGCAGGAGGCAATCAGTCGGTGTGTTTCTCTCACATCGATATTTCTGTCTTTCCCTCTCTCTAAAAAAAAACAAAAACAATGGAAAAATATCCTCAGGTGAGGATTAAACAAACAAACAACAAATTGGAGAATTATTCCTCAACTATGATACATTTCTAGAGTAATAAGCCAACACTTAAGAATGGGAATTACAAGTATATCTAATTGGAATCTGTAGAGTTTCTCTCATGCCCCCTCATTTATTTTAATTGATAGCAATTTGAAAGAAACATGAAACATTTTGTAGTTAATGCTGACTTTTCCTTATAGCCTAGTAAGCCTCAGCCCCCAGCCCGGCCTCCACCTCCTACGTTTCCAGCAAATCGAGCACCTGCTGCTGCTGCCTCAGCTCCCGCAGTGACTGGGACTCCTGCACCTGCTGCATCCCAGACTCCTGGCTCAGCTCCCCTTCCACAGGCCCAGGGGCCCCCCTACCCCACCTATCCAGGATATCCCGGGTAAGGCGGAAACTGTGTTTATCCCAGTGAATCAGCTAATCTACTGCTCTGGTTAACCTGTTAAAAACAGGGTTGTCGCTTCTCTGAATGGATGTGTCATAAATGAATAATCTACATTGTCAGCTCATGCGAAGTAAAAATAATGTTATAGTCACTTACTTGAGTAGTTGGGATAGCCATTTCCAAGCATATTTATGTTTTTAGTTTTTACATACTGGGTTTATATCAAATCTCTTCTGTATGGAATTCAGAATATGTTTCCTTGATCTTATTTATTTAGGTGATAAACAAGTGCCTTTTCTGAGCTTAGCGTGAGCCAGACTGATACGACCTTATTTATATTCCTGTACTTTGAAATCTTTGCATATTGATAAACTGTTGAGCAGAAATTTATGTAATTATGGAATGTATTTTCTTAAAGATCTGCTTTCTTTGTGATAATTAGTTAAAAATCAAGACATTTGACTATTTTTTAAGTGTACTTCAAACGTTAAGTCCATTCTGTCTTTCCACTATTAAGAATTTTTACAAATAGTAAATTTATATGCATTACAGTGAACTTGATATTCTTTCATTTCAATTAATAACAGGATTAGGAACACTTTTCTCTAACAGGTACCGTGAAACAGCTGTTTTCTTCTCTCCACTGTTCTCTAATAGACTGAGAAATGGAGACAAATGACTTTCTTGGAAAAACTGGTATTAGAATAATTATAGTATGTTTCGTTTTTTTCGTATTTGATTTATCAATCCAATTCTTTTCTTCTTCCCATCAGGTATTGCCAAATGCCCATGCCCATGGGCTATAACCCTTATGCGTACGGCCAGTACAATATGCCATATCCGCCAGTGTATCATCAGAACCCTGGACAGGCTCCGTTCCCAGGACCCCAGCAGCCTTCATACCCCTTCCCTCAGCCCCCACAGCAGCCTTACTATCCACAGCAGTAATATGTCTGCTCAGAAGCTCAGCTGGTTCAGTTCAAAGGGAAAGAATACTAATCTGCAATAAGTGTACTAAACTCCATGCTCTGGTTAATATAATGCACTCTACTCTGAATGCAGTGTATAATTTCTGTCTTCGGCTACAAACTGGAAAGCTGTGCCCCAGTTCCACATTTGATTGCACATGTGAGATTTGCTGCTGTTGCAGTATAAACACTAGGTATACTAGGATTTGAAATAAATTATATTACAGTTCATAAAAGTTGAAAATAAAAAATTAAACCCACAAGAGAAACCTTTGAAATAAATATACTTATGTCTACAGAAGCTGTGATTGGGTTACCAGATACGTACAGTGATGGTTTAAATACTGATATTCAAGAAAACCAAGTTTTCTTTCTCTTTTGGTTTATTGATTTGGTTTAATTTCCATTATGCTATTTTGCATAATCAAAGCATTGTAATCTTATAATTTAAAAATAAATTACTTAAGAACAGTTTTTATTGTTATGTTTTGTCATTGATTCTCATTACTGTCTAATTTCTTTGTAGTATTAGTCTTATTTTATATGTACATGAGTTAAACAGATACTGTGTTTAAGTGCATGATTAGTGCAGGTTAATAGTCAGGTTCAAGTACATTTTATGGGAAAATGAAAAGTATCATAGTTTATCTTTCATGTGCTGATTAATATATTAATTTTGAAATTTATTTTGAAAAGTCCTATAATGTGGAAGGAACACAATTGGTACCAAAGATTCTTCAAATAAATACACAAATAAATATGTATATTTAATGTTTTATTAATTTCTTCAAGAAATTGGTACAAATTCTGGTAATTATTTTTTTTATAACCTGGTTAAAATACATTATTTACAATACTGTCTATATAAATGGGATTGTTTAAAGAAAATTTACTGTACCCTTCTTTTTTCCACCTTACTGTCTTAACTTGGTAACATTTAATGCACAATGTATGTGAGTAGATTTAAGCCCTTTCATTTTTATGCTCCTAAAGATTGGACTATTTTATAATTCAGGGAGCACACAAAACAGTTGTTGGGAGCATATGCCAATTCTGGAATAGGCTGTGTATTTAATATTAATCTCTGCTGTTAAAGATAACTAATCACTGTATAAACCTCAGTAAAAGTAGTGAGCCATGCTTCATGGAATGAGAAAATGAGAAAGGAATGAGTTGTTTGATATCACAGTGGGATCTGTTCTGCGTGAGATTCATTTCTGAACACATCAGGCATATGAGCAGTTTTCCAATGGATTAGTTTATGCTTATTTTTTAAGTTTTAATGCCTACATTTTCTTGCCTTACTGTTTCATTTAAATGGTACTGTCACTTGGTACACTGTGGTTTTCATTGGCAGTTTGGGTTTATATTTTAAATGTTGGACTGAAGGTGTGATTGTAAAAGAGAGTGAATTGGTTTTAAAATATTTGTATATTTCAAAATCTTACTTTGTTGTATGTAGAAAACATGAAGGCATGTTACTGCAATATAAATTACCTTTACATGGAATATTACAGTTGGTTTAAAGTCCAGTAGTTAAAACCTTGGCAAAAGATAGGTTTTTACATATCAAAGCTAAGTTTTATTAATGTGGAATCATCAAGTGTGACATGGCTTGTTTGACTCTTGTGTAAATGACATTTAAGTTATACATTCTTACTACTCAAGGTGTCATATACTAACATAAGATACTCCGTGAGAGGGGTATTCCAAATTGCTAGTTTATAACTCTTGCTAATGCAGAAAAAAACAAAAACAAAGTTGGCCTGAATATTCTCTTGGGGAAAGATGGTGCTGAAGAAAGAGTAAGTGCATCCAAAGGCCAAAAGAGAAGTTATCAGGCCTTTAGCCCATTTCCCGTGCTAAGCTAGGCCTGCTCCCAGAGCGCCACGGGAAGATGGTTAAAACATTCTAGGAGAGGGGGCCCAGCGCTGGTGCCAGCCTCTTCCAGCATGCCCGAGCCGCTTGGCAGCCTAGCACCATTCCTCCTGTCCGCTCACCCCTTAGGTAATCGAGGATGCTTCTTTTGGCCGTCTGTGTCTAGGTGCCGATGACCAAGGGTCGGCAGGCCTCCATCCGCCTGTCTGCTGTCATCCTGATGGCTCATGGAAAGACGTTTCTCTGAGGTCCATTTTGCATTCTAGCAAACAAGAATGAAGCCTTCATTGGGCTCATTTTTATCAAACTTTTTTATCCTTTGCTTAGCTTCCAATATCCTACAAAATCCCTGAAAAAGGTGTCCCGGATAATGCTGTTTTGGCGATAGGAGAGTGTCTCTCTAGTTCAGGTATGTTAATACCTGTGTTTATAATTAGACTTTTTGATGATCTTTTGGGAAACCATTCCCAGTCCATTTAGGTTCGACTTTGGAACACTGTTTCAGAATGGATTATCCTTCCAGTGATGGAGCTCTGGATAGAGAGCCACTAAACACTAACATTTCTTTTTCTTAGTCGCAGACGGCTGGTCTGATCTCTCAGTCTCGTGTAAAGTACCGGGCTGTTACTCTGCCCCTTGCTCTCTATTCTCAGTTAAGAAAAATACTCATACATCACTGCAGACCATTCAGTCCTTGTGATATAACCATGTACCCGTACCCCCAGCTTTGCAGTGTTTAATCTCCCCCCCCCCCCCAAATCTAAATGTTACAGAACAAAACCAAGATTTCACAGCCTTCTGTCCCTGACCTTCTATCCCAGTGTTGAACTAGCCTTTCTAGTCCAACACATTTTGTAAAAAGTTTTCCATGAGAGCTTTACAGTTTGCAAAAGTGCTTTGTACAATGCAACTTGTTAAGTAGGTTTTAGTTTGCTAGTGGGAATTTTTTTTTTTTTATCAGTATATCTTGAAGAATCTTGCTATTAACCTAGTGGCATCTTTTTTTTTTTTTTTTTTTTTTAAACGACTGCAATTCCTAGTTGATTCACGGAACAGGATACAAAGTAGGAAAAAACTGCTATAGTATTGTTATTACTAGTTTAAATGTAGACTTTAAAACTAAATGGTGATTATAAGATTTACATGGAAGAGCAAAGAAGGAAAAATTCTATTTTTAAAGAAAAAGAGAATATTCAGGCTTTATTTCTGGTATGAAGTTTATATTTTTAAAAAATCCTATATTATCACACCAGAGATTTTAGATTCTTTTCTGGTTACAAACATTGCTGGTAGTTGGATTATATTTTTATTGTATTCATTTCTCTTAGGGGGAAAATTGTAAAGAAACAAAGAGGTTCCAGATGAATTTATCCTGGAAATAAAAGTTGAAAGATTCTTACTTCCTTGCAGTATGAATTCTTATTTAAAGTCCTTATTCTTCAGCTCTATAGTTTCTGTAATTTCTTTAACAAATGGTGGGTTGGGAATAAAAAAATAATAGCCACTTTGACTAAATGCATGATACTATAAAACGCAGACAATGTTTAAATGTTTTCCTAATAGCTGTCCACCCTATGATTTATCATGGATGGACCATGTTTTTCGTTATGATTTTCCCTCAGTTTTTTCAGATGACTAATTTCAAGTGTCATTTTCTGGGTTGATTTTTTGAAAATGTTTGACAAGTTTATGTTAATTGAGCAGTGGAGGGGGTGGTGAAACGCGTTTATCTTTTAAAACATATTTTCTTCCTCCTTCTCCCATGTGCTAAGGTCAGCTGCAACTGTTTTATGTAGCTTAGAATGCACAATTTGTCCTAAATTGTTGATTTTGTATCCCTTTCAACAGTTCAGGGTGAATAAGCTAACTCCAAGAATGAAGTCCGAATTCTTATTATTTATACTTTAAATATAGAAAAGTTGGGCATAGTTAAATCATTAAAAAAATCCTCACCCCAGAATATGTTTATACTGATTTGAGAGAGAGAGAGCGAGAGAGAGAGAGAGAGAGAGAAACATTGGTGTGAGAGAGCAACATTGATTAGTTGCTCCCAGCCATCACCCCCCCTCCAACCTGCCCCCACATGTGCTCTCAAGGATTTATATTCCAGGAAAGAAAACAATTGAACTGACAGTTGATTTGAAGGTGATAGTATATTAAGATGTGGATTTGTGGCAGGGAGTTCTCCATGTTTTTCTCCCTTTTTCAGCTCCGGCTCGAGACCCCTTGCTTGTTCCTGCCTCAGGTGGTGGTGCTAGGTCGGGGAGCAGAAGCTGGAGCCTGGGGCCAGGGTTTGAAGGACGTGACAAAATCTCGGAGGGGATAGCTTTTCGGTATAGAGGGATGGTGGCACGCTCCCAGCAAGGCGGGGCTTCCATAGCTGAAGGGACCATTAGGTGGGCAGCATGAAACTGACTCAGGACCTGGCTTGGGGAGCCAGCAATGTGTGAATCTGAGGTTTTTTTTGTTTGTTTTTGTTTTTTTTTAAATATATATTTCTATTGATTTGAGAGGGAGAGAGAGAAACATCAATGATGAGAGAGATCCATTGATTGGCTGCCTCCTGCATGCCCCCACTAGGGATCGAGCCTGCAGCCTGGGCATGTGCTCTGACCTGGGAATCAACCACTCTGGCCAGGCGAGTCTGAGGTTTTTTTTTTATCACCCTGCGTGGGATGGGCTTTAGCGTCAGAAACAAATGACCTCAATAAGTAAAGAAATGGATATTGCTTGTGTGCGTGGGTTGGTCAGCTTCAATTTGCAGCCACCTGCTGCACTGGGCCGTCTGGGATAGCGCAATGTTCATGCTGTGCACATCTGCACGCGTGGTCTGATGGCAGCGCTGCATTCATGTTCCCTTAATCTGTGCCTGTAGTTCTGTGGTATCTGCCTTCCTGCAAATGAAACCTCTTGCTAATTAATGCTTTAGTGCATGTTGTGGAAGAGGGGGGCTGAGATCGTAAGAGCCACTCACAAGGGATGGCCTGCTGGAGTAGGGCAGTGAGAGGACCTGACCACTTACACACCAGGGACTCCATCCAGGAAATTGGAGCCCCTCCTCCCCCCCTACACCCACTCCCACTCCCCTGTCCTTGGAATGTCTCTTGGCCCACCATTCTCACTAGGAACCAGTTTCAAGGTCGGAACCTTGAAAAGTAGGTGTTGAGGCTCTCTGGACGGGATACGTAACAGGACCACGTTAAGGCCTCGGCATAAACTTTTCAGATTCTGGCAGGCGGTGCCGAGACCTACTCATCTTTAGTGGGTTGTTAGAGGCAGCCTGACCTGGGCCCCAGTTCTGGCCTCGCCCGGAGCAGCTGTGTGATTCTGAGCAAGACATGCCCGCTGTCCACCTCCATATTCTCGTTGGTGAAACAGGTAACAATCCGTCCTCAGGATGGGGCAATGCCTGAAGGACTGGCCCCTCTAGATGCTTAAACACGAATAGAATTGGCTCTCCGTAAAATACACAGGCTCTACCTGACTGCCAATGTGGTTCACGGCACAAAAAGTTTTATTAACCCCCAGTTTTATTCATGAAAACTTTCTGGGGAAGAGTGGCAATTTCCAGTTAGACCACAAGAGGGCACTATTTCCCAACGAATGTTTTCAAAGATCACAGCAGGGCTTTTTCTTCTTCCCTCTCAACTCTTGTTCTAAAATTGGTTCAAGTTTTCTTTTTTACCTTTAGCAATGTCATGGGCGCCCTGTGAAGAGGCTCTGTATCTGATTCCCTGCCAAGAGCTGAAGCATCCTTGCATTGTGAATCGAGGAAGCTGTGAAACAAAACAGTGAGTCTCCCAGGCGCGAGAGAACTCTTAGGGCCCACAGCGCATTTCCTGTCCCCCAAACCCCCAAACAAAAGCATACCTTGTGAAGCAGAGAGTACACTCGATTTGATATTCTGATAGGAACAGACCCTCCTTTAGGGTGGGAACCTAGCTGAAGGTTTTCCCTTAATTAAAGGCGGTTAGAAGAAGGTGTGTTTGGGAGTGGGAGAGGGGAGGAGGGCGGGAGAGTAGAACTTTACAGGCAGAGGAAGGATGTGATCCTATAATAAAAACCCAGGACCCAGCCAGGCCTGCACTTGGCTCTGCAGTGTTTGCCCCCAGGGCTGATTTTAATGGGAACAATTTCACACGCACCTTGTCCTTTGGCCACATCAGCACACAGGTCACTGTATATATTTAAGGACTCAGAATAGAGGTCTTAGAGTGTCTAATTGCTAAAGGCAGCAGCCATTTTGACAAGTCAGCATCCAACCCAGGCCCAGCTCTGCAAACCTCGCTGCTCGCCCTGAAGTAGGTCAGGCGGAAGGAAGGGCAGGGAAATGCTGTGTGGGAGGGGTCACTTCCACTGGGTATCCAGTGCTGGGTGCAGCCCTACCCACTGACTCTCAAATTAACATCTGTTACCCTGTCTGCTTCTCTGACCTTTAATGATCGTTGCTGTTGTTTTTGCAATTTTAATTATGAGTAACACTGTCCTTTCTTTTTTCTTTTCTTCCCTCCCTCCCTCCCGCCCTCCCTGCCTCTCTTTCTTTCATTCACTCATTCCTTCACTCATGTATGAATGCCTCACAGAACGCTTGGCACATGTTGGATAAACATGACTACTCTGCATAGGGTCTTTTGGGGTATGTCTACCGCATGACCATCAGGCAGGTTGTTGATCAAGCAAGTTGAGTCTCAGTTTCCTCATCTATAAAACGGGCGTCATACTCCCTACCTCATGAAATTATTGTGGGGATTCAGAAAGCAAAGCGTGTACACAGTCAGCACCATTCCTGGCTATTGCTGTTGAGGGTCCTCGCTTTGCTCCTTGGGCCTGTGGTGTCCACGGGGCAGGCAGTTAGCAGCAGCCAGGCACCCCCGATACCCGGGTGAGCTTCATGCTCTTCATTAAAGTGCCGCGGATTTATTTCGTGAGGTGACGGTGTGACAAACTCGGGATGGCCTGGGCGAAGTCCCAGATCTGACACCTAATGACCACAAGACCTGAAGCTAATTACGCGGCCCCTCTGTGCTTCAGCGTCCCTGTCCCCGTATTTAAAAAAGGTGCAGGATGGCACTTTCTGCAGAAGGTTATGAGTTAACACAGGAAGAGCATTTAGCATGGCCCCCGGCACAGAGGAAGCTCTCAAAAGGCTGAGCTTGGATGGCTGTTGTGATTGCCCGAGGCAGCTTGTGAAGTGTTCTCTGATGACAAACCTAAGTGTGCTAGTCCGGCTGGACCAGCGGGCTCATGTCCCTGGGCCCTGTCCCTCAACATGCCTGGTGAGAAAGGGATGGGGGGCGGTGTGGTGACGGGGTGCTGGGGGAAGTCACTGAGAGCATGTGCTTCCGGTTAGTCCTGGAGGAGCTGGGCCTGGCAGCTGCAGGCTCCTCACCCGCCCCCCACCCCCCCTTGTGCTCGAATGTACATTCTGCCCACCGTGCCCACAGTGGGAGTCAGGTTCAAGGAGGGAGTCCCGTGCTGGTGAGACCTCTGTGGGGAATACGTGACCAGGCCCGGTTCAAGCCTCTATCTGAGCTTTAAGATCCTGGTGGACGGTGTGGATCCACTCGCCTTGTGACGGCCCCGGACAACCCTCTTGAGTAGGTTTCCTTGCTGGTGAGACCTGCCACCTGCCAACTGGAGTGGCTGCTCCCTGACCTCCGTGTATGGGCCCAGTTTTCCAACATGGGTCGGGGGGAGGGGTTGTGGTGGGGGGGGATGGTAGGGGTCGTTGGAGATGGCGATGGGTGCTGGTGGAGTGATGGCAGGTAGTTGCTGGCAGTCTGGGTGCAGGAATGGCGATGGAGTCGTTGGAGATGATGATGGGCCCAGGGAGGCTGGGGTGGGGCAGTGGGTGGGGCAGGAGGACTGGCCCTCCTCTCTGGCGCCTGGGCGGCCACCGTGCTGTGACCAGCTTCAGGATGAGGTGTGCCCCCGAGTGCGGGGTGGGTCGGGGCGCAGAGCTCGGCAGGACTCCTGACTGCGCCCCGCAGCCAGGGTCGGTCCTGGGAC